GTAGCTGGGACTACAGGCACCCACCACAATGCCCGGCTATTTTTTTGTTGCAGTTGTCATTGTTATTTAGCCTGTTGAACCCAGGCTGGGTTCAAACACACCAGCCTCAATGTATGTGGCCGGTGCCCTACCCACTGAGTTATGGGTGCCGAGCCTGAAGAAACTCCTAATAGGCAAGCCAATGAATCAGGAAAGCAGATGGGAAGCAGGTGCCCATGCAGTGTTTATGCATTAGTCCATTTCCCTGTATGATGGGTCCAAAACTGACTCATGCCTTCTTCAGTTCTTCCTTCCAACTTTCAAATAAGTTAGGCTACTGGTGAAATTTAACATGGAGGCAAAAAGAAAATAGATTCTAGGGAATTTAGTTCACAACACTATACAACTGACATGAGATGATCCAAGAGGGCCATCTCCAGTCTAGATTTTATTGTCCTATCAAAGATTTAATCTAGTAATTCAGTCTATCACCAACAACCCAGCCAGAAAGAAAAAGAGCAAAGGGTAAGATATAAAAATAAAAACTCACAAAAGACTGTATTGTATGATAATCTTGGAATGCTTACTAGCTTATTTGATTTACTTCCAAGGAAAATAAAGTAAGGCTCTTCTGGCTAAAAAGAAGAAATTTTTCTTGGAAGAAAGTGAAATATATAAAATGAATAAAGGTTATCTAATACCTGACATAGAATGCCAGTAGAAAACAACCAATATCTAACTGTCATTTTTCGATGGCCCCTTGTTTACAAAACTAGTAAGTGAATAATTTTATTAACTGATTTGAAGAAAAAACACTACCTATAATACTTCTCTGTGCTATTGCTAAAAGAGTACTTACAGAATAATCTCAGTGTTTATTTACTTAAGTAGTAAGTAGAAATCCATAGTGTAGATGTCCACTTTAAGACTCTAGCAATGATAAAGCAGGCATGGCAGCATGCATCTACAGTCTCAGCTGCTCAGGAGGCTGAGGCAGGAGGATCTCATGAGCCTCAGAGGCCAGCCTGGGCAACCAGTAAGACCTAATCTCAGAAATAGCCAAATAAAAAATAATGCTAACACTGTTAAAAATAATATGTTTATAATTTTACATCATTTCTTTCGTGGCACAAATATTTTAGAGCAGAAGTGTCCAACCATTTTTTTCCTCTGCCACACACTAGAAGAATGAGAATTGCTTTGTACCACACATTAAATACACAAACACTAATGAAAGCTAATTAGCAAAAAAAAAAAAAAACAATCTGTGCATACTTTTTTGCAATATCCAACATCACAAATGAGCAAAAAAAAGTTCTCACAAAATCAGCATGCAGCCCATGGACTGCAGGTTGGACACCCCTGATATAGAGCATTATATGTGAATTAATTTCTATTAGGCTTTCCCATATTACTTACATTTGTACAACTTTAACTGAAAAGTTTAAAACTAAAAAACTTTCTCTACTGTTTACATTTATAGGGTTTCTACTCTGTGTGTACTCTCCTTACATGTTTTCGTAAGGATGTACGCCAACTGAAGGCTTTGCCACATTCCTTACATTTATAAGTTTCATTGCGAGTATGTATTCTCATGTGTACTTGAAAGGCTGTAAGAAAGCTGAAGGATTTGCTACATTCCCTACATTCATAGGGTTTCTCTCCAGTATGAATTCTTTCATGTATTTGGACATAATTAGAATGACTGAAGGCTTTGCCACATTGTTTACATTTATAGGGCTTCTCTCCAGTATGACTTCTTTCATGTTTTTGAAAGGAACTGCAGCAACTGAATGCTTTCCCACATTCTTTACATTTATAAGGCCCATCTCCAGTGTGCGATATCATGTGTATTCGAACACTTGTAAGATACATGAAGCCCTTCCCACATTCCTTACATTTATAAGGTTTCTCTCCAGTGTGAGTTCTTTCATGTGTTTGAAAGCCCAGAGGAGAAATATAGGTTTTCCCACATGTTTTACATTCATACTCTTTCTCTGCAGTGTGAGTCCTTTCATGTCTTTGAACAGAATAGCGACAACTAAAGGCTTCCCCACATTCCTTACATTTGTAGGGTTTATCTCCAGTATGAGTTCTTTCATGTGTTTTAATAGACTGGCTGTATCTGAATACTTTCCCACATTTTTTGCATTCATAGAGTTTCTCTCCAGTGTGGGTACTCAAATGTGCTCGGAAACCAAGAGGAGACATGTATGTTTTTCCACACTGTTCACATTCATAGCGTCTCTGCACAGTGTGATTCCTTTCATGTTTTCGAGCAGTATAATGATAATTGAAGGCCTTCCCACATTCCTTACATTTGTAGGGTTTCTCTCCAGTGTGAGTCCTTTCATGTCTTTGAGCAGAATAGTGATACATGAATGCTTTCCCACATTTTTTACATTCATAGGGTTTTTCCCCAGTGTGAGTTCTTTCATGTGCTCGGTAACCCAGAGAAGACACGTATGTTTTCCCACATTGTTTACATTCGTAGTATTTTTGTGAAGTGTGATTCCTTTCATGTTTTCGAACGGTATGGCGGTAACTGAAGGCTTTTCCACACTCCTTACATTTGTAGGGTTTCTCTCCATTATGAGACTTTTCATGTACTTGAGCAGACTGGGGATGTTTGAACACTTTTCCACATTTCTTGCATTCATAGGGTTTCTCTCCATTGTGAGTCCTTCCATGTACTTGGAAAGAATATCGGCAACTGAACGTTTTCCCACAGTCCTTACACTTATAGGATATCTCTTCACTGTGAGTTCTTTTATGTTTTTTAAAAGACTGCAGATAAGTGAAGCCTTTCCCACATTCCTTACATTTATATGGTTTGTCTCCATATTCCTGAAACTTATGTGGTTTCTGTCTTGTGTGAGATCTAATGTGCCTACTATAGGATGAATGACAAATGAAGACTTTTCCACACACACTGCATTCATATGGCTTTACTCCCATGTGAGTTTTCTTGTTCAGACTGAGATTTGGAATCTGATTGATACTTTCTCCACATTGACTACCTTCTTTACTTTCATATGCTTTCTCTACCATATGACTTCTGTAAAAGATGAGAAGTACATTATGTTTATTAAAGATTTTTAAATTATTAAATGATATCAGAATGTAGATTATTTTTGTCCTTCTAAAATACTTATAAGATAAATACATTAAATGCTCTGCAAGAGAGATCAAGCATAGCTATTATAAAAAACAGTGGTATTCATACATGGATTTCTTTTTTTTTGAGACAAAGTCTCACTTTGTTGCCCCTGGTAGAGTGCCTAAGTGTCATACCTCACAGTAACCTCAAACTCTTGGGCTCAAGTGATTCTCTTGCCTCAGCCTCCCAAGTAGCTGGAACTACAGGCACCCACCATGACACCTGGCTATTTTTAGAGATGAAGTCTCACTTTGGCTCAGGTTGGTCTCAAACCAGCAAGCTCAGGCAATCCACCTGCCTCAGCCTCCTGAGTGCTAGGATTACAGGTGTGAGCCACTGTGCCTGGCCTCATACATGAATTTCTTAATACTATTTCCAAGCAAACTATTTTTCAAACACTGACCATCTATGTCATATTTTTTTAAAAAAACACTTGTGTTTAATATTTATATTCTTCTCCTAAGAATAGATAAATGTGAGGCTGGGCTTTCTCATTTTGTTTCCTTGTTTAAAAATTTCATGACATACTAAGATTTTCTCCTGGGATATTACTTTCTCTTGTCAGTATGACTCACCTAAGATTTCTCTCCCAGTTTTTATACTGATCTTCAATATTTTGGTCTTTCTGTTTTTTTCCTGAAATGCAAAACAAGTTACCGTAAGTTATTAAAAATTATAGAAAAACTCTTAGATTCAAGGTTCATGATGAGCTGTGACCATGCCAGATTTATTTGCAAGAATAAATTTCACATTCCACATTCTAAATCTTGGAACAACATCAATGATCAAAAAATAAACAACATGATGGAATTTTCATTCTTACCTATTGACTCCAGATTTTGGAAAGTTTCCCACATAACATCTCTGTAGAGTTTTTTCTGTGAAAGATCCAACAAAGCCCACTCCTCCAGGGTGAAGTTCACAGCCACATCCTCAAAGGAGACTGAGTCCTGAAACATCCCACATTTATAAAAAGGAGGATGAGTGAGACAGCACCAAGAATCTATACTCAATTCATAAAATGTTCAGCTATTACTCTGTGATCTCCAAAGACCTAATCTATAAATTGGTTGCAAGAACTCTTTGGCCACACTCACTTCCTCAGAACTGTGAAAACAAGAAAATAATTAATAGTTATTAATTACTAATAAATAATAATTAATTTTAGGCTCAGTGCCTGTAGCTCAAGGGACTAGGGCACCAGCCACATACACCAGAGCTGGCAGGTTTGAATCCAGCCTGGGCCTGCCAAACGACAATAACTACAACCAAAACATAGCCAGGCATTGTGGTGGGTGCCTGTAGTCCTGGCAGCTTGGAAGGCTGAGGCAAGAGAATTGATTAAGCCCAGGAGTTTGAGGTTTCTGTGAGCTGGGATGCCACAGCACTCTACCAAGGGCAACACAGTGAGACTCTGTCTCAAAAAAAAAAAAATTGCATTTTAATACCATCAATTCCTTATGAGAAAAACTCCTTCATTTGTAGGGTTTCTCTCCAGTGTGAGTCCTTTCATGTCTTTGAGCAGAATAGTGATACATGAATGCTTTCTCACATTTTTTACATTCATAGTATTATTAATTATACTTCATTATCTTTCTTATCTACCACTCAACATCCCATGAGCTACAACATTTCATGAGTTATCAAATGTGGATAGTGTTGAAATGAATAAAAGCACACTGAAGAACTGGAACCTTTGCTACTACTCCCATCACCAAACATCAGACTAGGAGGCATGGAGAAATAAAAGTTGTAATAAGATTCAACTGACCACACTGTCCTGAAATACTCTAAATACTCAGATCCAGATGGTTCAATCAAAATATTTCTTTTGGAAAAGTATTCATTTTAACATATATAACATTTATCAGACTCAGGTCTTCCTTTTTCTTTCTGTTCCATTTCATGGGGTTATTAAGTTACTGGGAAGTTATAGCTTAGGCATGAAGGAAAAAGGCACAAAACCTTAGATTAATAACAAAAAAAGAAATCCCTTCTTCTGGACTTGGGAGAAAATGGCCAAGTAACAGCTTCTTTGCAACTGGGTGCAGTGAGACTGGGGAGAGAAGACTCTGTGCATCTCTGGCTGGTGGGATCTGCCCAGAGACATTCCTTTGGGGACACAAAGAGACAGTAAGTCTTCTGCACCCCACGAGGAGGATAAAGACAGTGGAGAACTGGCAAGTGGTGGGTGCATTTCTTCAGTCAGAGGCTGCCCACAGCTGTAACTACAGCAACAGCAAGTTTGTAACCAGGAAAGGCCTAACCTGCAGACTGTTTTTCTTTCTTTCTTT